TTTCCTGGCCTGCTCTGAGTTTCAAATAGGATTTTCTCTTCCCCTTTGGCTTCTGAGCGTAAGGAGAGTAAGTGTCAAAAAGCAGGCGCTTTCCCAATTTTAAAACAGAGAGGGTGTAACCATGTGTAATGTGAGTCTAGATTTTGATTGTAGGGATGATGAAATCAAATCCTTCCTTAATCCTTACTGGGAAACTGAGGTAAATTTGCCTGCCTGATTTTGCTACCTCATTAAAATCCTTTTGAAAAACAAATGTGCTTCAGTGTCATCAAAAATGTCTCCCTACTTCAGCCCAGAGCCTCAGAGAGCACTGGACCATTGTGCAGAGTAGCCTCAATACAATGAAAATGGAAAAGAGGAGGAGAATGGATAAACCCAGATACATTGTTTTCCTGGAGAAAACACAGCGCTTTCAGACATGCAACCCTTTCCAGGGCTGCCTTTTTTAAGCTAGGTGCTTAGTCATTGTTAATGACAGTATATTTCTTTAAAACTGCTGTATTTTGGGAATAACTGGAAATGAAACTTGGCTTCCTTCCCTTCCCCTCCACCCCCATTAAGGTTAGTCAAAATAATATAGAGTTGTCTGTGTCCATTGCAGTCCCTATGTTGGTGTATTTTTGGAACAAGTGAGGAAGCATATTCCAGTTATTTGATTTGTAGCAAAGCATTAGCTGGAACTTGAGAAGAGCTCCCTACTCATGGCATTCAGCTGTGCTGGGCAGTGGTTGGATGCTCTCAGTATTACCTCTACTTTACAAAAGTACTTGACACAGACTCATAATATCACTAAGACTTCCTCCCCTCTCCTTAATTGTGTTCCTTGGTAATGTGTCTGCACGTCCCCAGTTGTGCACACAAATATCTTTGAAGTTTAATTAATTCATTAAAAATAGCTGAAGTATTTAAGGAGGAGTACCTTATAAATAGTGAAGGAGGATGTCTTGTTCGTTCTTGCCATTACTGAAATAGAAACAAGGAGCTGGTATGATGGTGTAGGTTTCCTGATGTGATTATACCGAATTCCAGGGCAGGACCTTGCATCAATTGGTGTGAAGTATCTAAATGGCTGGAGAAGAAGTAGGAAAGGATTTTTATTTTTTTAGCTGGTGAACCAATGCAAGTAAGCTTGTGAGAAGCAATGGGAGCAGAAACTGATGCTTCCAAGATGGAGCACATTTATTCTCTAGAAATCTGCCTCCACAAACTCCAGGCTATTCTATTGCTGAGGTCCGTATTCATCACACCTGAATTCAGACACTGATTGCTTTCAGTCGATGTGAAAGGTGACCGGATCTATCTTTTGGGTGTGCATGCTGGCCTTGGCCTTGGGCATTGCCGTTAAACTTCAGTGGGATAAGCATTAACCAGAATCTCACCTAGCAGACACTTGAATCTGGTTTATTCTTCCACAGTCACTCTGGGAATTTGTCTTTTCAGATTAGGTCCTTCTCTGTAGGAAAAAGGCAGCTCTGAAACCCTTTCACAGCTTTAGGACTTACAGTGTGCTTTAAAAACTATGCCCTTGATCCTACAGCCTACAAAGCCTCAAGCCTATCCCTAGTTGCAAACATTAAATCAGAAATATTTGGTGTTTCTGGCAGGGAGAGTGCATATATCATCAACTTGCTCCTTTTTATATGTAGTTGATCATTTTTGCTGTGCTTCAGGGAAGCTATGTGAAAAAGCTTTTGTGCTCATTTTGAATAACAGCAGGGATAAATGGTGTTTTTCTAACTTGTCAATTTTTTTGTTCTTTTCTTTCTATCCACTGTTTGATTTCTTGATCTTGATAAAGGTATTATTTAATTACTGCATTCTGAGCCCTTAACCTTGGACAGATACATATGAAGCTTGTATTTAGGCACTAGTGGGGTGCTTTAAGCAAGCTGTTTTTCTTTGAAGCTAGGAATGACTAAGGCTGGGAAGTTCTCTTTTCTTCCTCATCTCCTCCTGGTAGTTAATATACTTCACAGGGGTCTCAAGACTCTCTGATAAGTCTTTGAAGTTATTACCTACTAAGGTTTTACTCTTTCTGAGTGCTGAACACTGAACTACTGACTGCTCTTAGAAGCAATGCGAAAGAATTCACAAAACCAACAGAGCCTTGACTATAATATCTGCAGGAAAGAAGCTGAATTTAATGTGTAATTTGTGTTGCTGGGGAGATTTTGACTCTGTTCCCTCCTCTGTCACCAGCTTGCCTTGTGATTTGTGGTAGCATTTTCAGTTATGCCAGTCACATGAGATCAAAAACCATGAGTCAGACTCCACCCAAATCATGAGCCTGGCTTCCAGATCCAGGAGCTTTGAACAGAGATCATACCATGCTTTTTCTTTAGTTTATCTTTCATTTCTGGAATTTCCTCTGTCTATTCCCAATATGTCTCTAGCAATTAATGTTTCCCACTCCTTTGGAAGTGTTGGGAAGATATTTTGACCATTTGGGCTGTTGGAAGCCTCATTTGACCTGCACAATTAAATTTGGTTTTGATATCCAAGTGAATCTTATTTCTTCCAGACTTCACATCTTTCTCCTGTCCCCAATGACTTCTGCATCCCTTAGCCTCACATGACCCATCACTTCTGTTTCTTCCTTGCCATGCAGCTGCTCTGTCGCCCCTTTAGTCCTCTCTGGTAGTGAGAGAGCTTTTCACTATTGCCTTTCAGGATATAGAACAGGTAAAAAGATGCAGACCTTTGTATGAGAATATATAATTGGAGAGAGCAGGGAAATGATCTCTCTAAATACCTTTCCTGAAAAAAGATGTTGTTACTTGCAGCATAAGATGTAGGTGATGAGGACAGGCGGGGGATCACCTCTATGAAGGTTGGAGATCTGCAAGAAAGGCCAGAGCTTTGCATGTTACTATGAGACATGATCTCTTTGCTCTCAAGGTGTTTGAAGGACTTGGCAAATCAGAGTTTTACACTCTGAAGGGAATCAGGTGAAGAATGAATAGGAGTCAATGAATTTACAAGCCAAAGTAAATACAGAGCATGTAAGATGAGAATCATTTGTTTGGTCTGCAGTCTTTAGCCCTCTAATTCAGTAGTTGATCTGTTTTTCTTCAAATTTTAGGTTTATAATATATTGTTTAGACTCACTTAGCCAAATCCATTATGAAAGATATGATTATGATTTGAGATGGTGAAAAAGCCAAAGAGAAATTTGGCATTGTATTGTTATATTTTCTCCTATAGCATTTGCCTCTTTCCAGGAAGGGTAAGAAGTTAAAAGTTCTTGGCAATGGTTTAACAAGCCAAATCAATGAATATGACTTTGCAGTAATTACTGCATGCAATATAGTTGTGCCTGATATTCCCATTGTAACGTTGTCATTGTTTTGCCATGAGATTTGAAGATCAGAGCTAACTAACTAGTGAAATTTTGCAGAACTATGCTAACCACACCTCAGGCAGATGGAAAAATGCATCTTCTTTTGCTCATCCTCATGCCATATCACTCTTTCACCCCATTGTTTGCTGATTCTTGCATGTGCCATGTGCAAGGCATATTGCAGGTCCATAATTCCAGGTAAAAATACAAACAAACTGTACCCTCATATCCAAATACCCCTAGAATCTGTGTGCCCGAAACCAGTCTTAACTCAGAGAAAAACTCTTTACATATCCCTAAGCTTCACAGTGGGTTGTCTCCGAGCCTTGATTGCACAGTCTCTCTGTGTTTTGGTGGATAGGAGTTGTGGAATTTGTTTTTAAACCCACAATCATCAAGAGCTATGTTCAAGACATGAGAAAGATTCCTGATGCCAACCAGAAAATCTCTCAGCTAAACGTTTCAGGTGCAAAGCCTGAATCTGTAGCAACTGGACACATCTCAAGGTGCTTCTTGTGCTGTGAATGTTTCACAGAACTGCAATAATTAGAAATGATTCCTTCCTTAAGACACACAAATGCTACCTCACAGCTTGAATATTAGCAAGATAAAGTTTATGAGAGCAAGCAGAGTAATATAATATTTTCTGCAAAGGAAAAGGGCATCTATTTACTTAGCTCTTTCATCAGCTGTTTTCAGACACGCACAGTGTGCATAAAATACAGTTATGCAACCCGTGTGGTTCAGCAACGGAAGGTTGGTTGCTTCACCAGGATTAAAAGAATCTTTTAAACACAATGGTACCACAAATTAAAATGGAAATCTATCAAAACCATTATCGTCCTGAAAGCTTTGGCCACAAGCATAATTACTGTAGAAGGATGTTGTCCTTGGACACAGCTCTGGCTCAGTTCTGCTAGTGTTATTTGTATCCCTTCATGGCTCAAAGTCGGGATTTGCATGGCTAAGGACCATAAATTTTCAGAGGAAAAAAATAGGCTGTTTCCTCAATGCTAACACTAGCAGTTTTTTATTGTTTTGTAGTGGTTTGTAAGCAACTCATTAGATACTAGAGATAGGAACAGACTGAATGTGGTGGTTGAAATCTGCTTTGAACCTTAGAAGGATTCAGATAGAGATTTTGTTTAGATCTGGTTGTTTGTATCTGAGGCTGTTGCTTGACTGATATGGACAAGAATGAGTGAATGTCCAGAGTGTTTGGGTTTAAATTTAAATCTAAAAGTCCACGTTTTGGATCATAATACAGTGAGCTGATAGAAGCTGCAGTCCACAGTATTAAACAGAGCAGAATACCTGTCCTGAATTTTCTAGCATGTCCATGAGGTGGGCAGTTCTGTAGGGATGTGAGTAATTCAGAGAATGTAGTCTCCTGGATATTGCTTGCCATCAGCAAGGGACACATCTCCCTTACCCAGAGCTGCCCTCAAGAGAAACTTCAGGCAACTTTCTCAAGCTCCTGATGATGGCCAAATCCTGGAGTAACTCCATTTTTGTTCAGATGATAAACTATATTAAATAGCAGGCGCTGATGGTTATTTTTAAAGTGGTTATTTTTCTTTCAACATCCAATTTTCCATCTTGAGGGAGGTAAATGATTAACAAGTCTAAAATCTATTTTTCTTCTCTTTCCAACCCTCAGGCTGGGATAGATGGAGAAAGCATTGGGAACTGCCCGTTCTCCCAGCGTCTCTTCATGATCCTCTGGCTCAAAGGAGTTGTGTTCAACGTCACCACTGTTGATCTGAAAAGGTACAAATCATTCAGTTTAATTGAAAATAGTTATATGATCCAGTGTTTTGCTTATAGAAAGGCCCTCCCAGGTTCAATCAGATTGGTATCTAGCCTAGAGAGTCTGTGGTACACAATAAAATAGATGGGATTCAGGTTGGGTTGTTGGTTGGTTTTTTTTCATTTGTGGAATGTTTTTATATTAAACAGGGCACTTGGGGTAGTTTCAAAGTCTTCTAACCACAAACTGGATTAAAAAAAAAAGGGGGGGCAAAAAACAGAAGGGCAAACTGATTTTTTTAGGATCTATACATATCTGTGCAAATACTTGGCCATAAAGATTAGTGATTTCATGACTTTTTCTGTCTCTGCAGAAAGCCAGCTGACCTACACAATCTGGCTCCTGGGACCCACCCACCTTTTTTGACTTTTAATGGAGAAGTCAAGACAGATGTTAACAAGATTGAGGAATTCTTGGAAGAGACTCTCGCACCTCCAAAGTAAGAACTTGCAATTTTTCTTTCAGTTAGTATTCCATTTCCTAGGAATGAAAGATGTCCTAAGAGGAGTTCCTAAAAAGCACTCCATCCTACAATCTTTACTTACAGGAGTAATATTTATTTATGAAACTTACTGGCTTCAGTGAGATGACTTCCATGTGTGAAGGTTGCTTGTATGACTAATAACTGCAGAATGTTTTCTCTGTACACATTTCAGGATGCCCTTGTATGCAGAATTAAGGAGACCAATGCTAGAAAAATTTTGTAGGGGTCTGGTGTCCACATTTCACAAAGCTAAAAATAACTTGGAATAGATGTCGAGAATTGCCACACAAAAATATCTGTGCCAGGAAAAGCATTTTACAGTGAAAACCTGGAGTTTTCTGAGCTGTATGGTGTATTAGAAACGTTGGAAGGGGAACTGATTACAGAGTATGAGAGGCTCTAGGGGCAGAAAAGTGCTCGTTATTCTAGTGAAGAAGTGACAAGAGCCCATGACTGGAAGTTATAACCAAACTAATTCAGATTACAAAGAAGGCACAATTTTGTTCTGTAGGAATGATTAACCATTGGAACAAGCTCCCAAAGAAAGATTTAGATATACCAGATACGCCTTAGCTAGTCCAACATTTTGGACTTCATACAAGGATAATGGGGGGAGAGGGAAGGGAGGGAAGGGAATTGTTGGCTTGTGTTCTAGACTTTAAAATCTATGAATCAATGAAAATTGGCTTGGTTCCTCGCAGGGTGTTTTACCTCGAAGTGAATCAGCAGCTATAGGCCAGTCCTGAGGCAAGAGATCAGATATTTAAATTTTCTATAGTCTGTTCCAAGACCACTGATGGCAGTAGGAGTCATTCATTTGTGTTGGTCTTTCAAATAGATGTATTCCTTTGTGCCAGATGTCTATAAAAAACAATTCAGGGACTGAAAACTTTATGTTCCTTCACCTGGGTAACACTAATATGCCTCGCTATTACATTCTGTAGTACATTTTCAGTATAAGGAATTGGACATGACTGACATTCATAATGGAGAGAGCTGGCTGCCAAACTTGCCTGCACCTTTCTGGAAATTTATGCTTCCTTCTGATTTAAGGCCACTGTATCTCGGATTGTGGTAACATAAAACGCCAGCGCAATTACCTTTGTGATGAAGCCATCCCTCTGTAACTATGCAAACGCCTGCCTCAACAGACACAGTTACTATTAAGAGGGACTTGCCAAGCTGTTGTTTCGAGATAAATGACAGTGCTAATTGCAGTTCCTCGTACAGGGCTTTTTTCTTTCTTCTTGCAAATTGTATTTGTAATCATCATTATGTTGCTGGTAACAAGATGTCATTCTCCACACTGCTTCTCCCTTTTTAGGTACCCCAAGCTGGCTGCCAAGCACCGGGAATCAAACACTGCTGGAATTGATATCTTTTCCAAATTTTCTGCATACATCAAAAACACCAAGCAGCAGGATAATGCTGGTAAGTAGGATCATTATCAAATGTGCCAGGGAGTTTGTGTGCTTAGATGTGTAATAATTTTGCCATTCTTCCATAGTTTTATTGTAAACTTTGTTCACATGACATCAGGTGCTGCTACTGACCACTTTGAGATGATTGGTTCACTGGACTCAATTCACATGTCCATCCACACTTGAATTAACTGTATCTATAATAATAAATCAAACAGACAGCAGAATACTTACTAGTGCCTCTACCAACTGTCATGGCACAGCTCCTGTTCACAGAGCCCAGCTTCTCCTCAAGAACAAGATCCCATACTGCTTACTGGAAGTGCCTGGTGGTCTGACTGCCTCCTCTACTCTGCTCATGCACCTCTTAGAGGAACGTGTGCTGCCTGGGTTCAAAACTGTGCTAGTACTGAAAATTTAGTAGTGAATGACTGGGTGAGAGCAGCTCCTGCCCTGAACCTTCATAATTGGTTAGATCTAGCCATCAGACTCTTGGCCCACTTATGATTATGTTACGCTGTTATAGTTAATTTGCTCATGTAAACTGACTTACAGCAAGACATTCACTGTAAAATAAATAAATTAAAGAAGTGGCTTTAAGAAATGTAATTTGCACTCTGTAAGCTTCAGACTTTTTCTCACATATTTGTGTGTCAAAAGAAAGAACTCCCCAGAAGCTGGATGCCATGCATATTTACATGCATCCTACACTGTCTTCTTAATGAAACTGCTTTTATTCTTCATATCCCCCTTGGAAAGGCAAGACTTCAGCTAGTTTAAGCTCCTCTTCCTGGGTGAAAGCTAATGGATTTACACTGCCATTTCCCTTGAAATGATCCAAAAGAATACTTGCAGTTACTCACTGATGTACCTCTTACCATATATTACTAATTTCACAGACAGACCTAAAGCATGTTAAATACCATGTGCTTGTATTGTATCATTCAGAGAAGACTAGATTTTTTAAGATTCCAGCTTTGCCACAGTTTTCATCTGTGTGATTATGTTTCATTGCCTAGGGCTGACCCATGAGATGAAAATGGGTAAATGATGATTTATGTCAGATAACAATCTGCTGCTCCTTAATATTTTTGTGTTGTCAACGGAAGGAAATAATTATAGTGCTTCACTTCTCAGGGATGCTAAAAAGTTGTGTTTTTTGTCATGCTAATGACATGCTCAGCTAACCTCTGTAGGAAGCTGTAAAAGGAAGATAAATGAAGAATTAGACTAAATAGATGTTAGAGCAAAAATAAAATATCTTGGCTATTTACAACATATTTTTTTTTATGATCTGTTCTGCAACTGTAGATCTTAATTTCATCTGTGCTGCCCTTTGCACTCTAAAACAGCCACAGGTATCTGTCCACATGCATAATCCCAGTGTGTTGCTTCTAGTGACACTGCAACATGCAAATCTTTGGACTCATAAGGGCTGGCATCTCCAGCCAGTAATAAATGGCTATCTTAGAGGTGTCTGCATCTGGTCATAACAAGAGCTGGAATTCAAGGTTATATATCTGCTCCTGTAAGATAAGGAATCTAACCCTGCAAAGTGCTCATGACCAGGTCTGCACATTTTTACTAGCTGCAGTGTGGTTAATAGGAGCTTTCCCTAGTTCTGCCCAGCAGACTCTTGGTTTAGGTACTCTTAAAAATGAAAGGAAACCGCTTCCCAGTGGCAATTATGCACACTAAAGCTATAGGGAAGAGGCGTTAAGTGGCAGTAGAACAACAATCTTTGTTTCCTTCAAGCATCCTCACTCCTTTTTGTTATCTGGCTTGTGATCTCGTGATATCCAGACACACTACAATCTCTAAACATACTGATACTCAACTTCCCTGTTTGAAGCAGAGGAAACTTTTTAGCTTAAGTTTTTACAGCTGGAGTGCTGCAGTGCAAGGACAATAAAGCAGAGATGAGCAGAGTATAATACCTAAATGCTTTTTCTATCAACAGAGTAAAGTACCTGAAGACCTTGGAGTCCTTGGGACTATCAGTTCAGACTTATTCCATAGAATCATAGAATGGTTAGGGTTGGAAAGGACCTTAAGATCATCTGGTTCCATCCCCCCTGACATAGGCATGCAGGATGTAGACCTCAATTTTGGCAAATTGACTTTCAGTTTTCAAGGGCTAAGCAATCCCTTATCTGAGGGATATCTTACCCACTTTCCTATCCAGTTCTTCTGAACCTACAGCAGTTCTTCTGAAGATGATTTAGATGGCAGATAATGAGTTAATTAAAAGGTAGTTGTGTTAGATTTCTTGAGCAGTGAAAAGACTACTCAAAAGGAAAGGACACCACCACTGGATGCCTATTTCCTAAAGAGCCTAATGAACCTTTTTGATTGGCATTTTTAAAAATTGCAATGGTATCTTTAGTTTTAAATTGCAAGACCAATTAGAAAGGGATCTGGGTCTCTAGCCCTGCTTTGGTGCATGTCATTTTGCAGAAGGTTCTGATGCATTGTTGTTTCTATGTAACAATAGAAGTAGTTGTATATAGATCTGTAATAATAGAAAGCATTTTAGAAACATAAAATGTACTAATGTAGGTGAATGTCCCTCTCCCCATGTCCATATGAGCAGGTGAGATCCAAAAAGAACAGAGATTGCTGCTTGTGGTTAAACTGTTCCCATATACCCCAGCTCTCAGATAAAGGTAATACATGTAATACATGTCTCACAGTCATCCTCTGATCAGCTCATAATTCCAGCTGACTCAAGTCCTTGTGTTAATCTGGAAAGCCACGCCAGTGACTGGGACGTCAGTTCTGCATGATCAAAATACACAAATAGAATAAGACTTGCTAATAAGTCAAGAATAGAAAGCAGAACACAGACTGTTATAAAACTACAATTGTAATTTATTTTAGTTAGGAATAGGGGAGTGCTGACTACCAAGTAAGTTAAATCACCAAACATCAGGTTCTTTAAATTATGTTCTCTTAAACTGGGAGTCAGGGAGGTGAATTCATTAAAGTGTGGGAGATCAGACTGGAAATTTGTAGCATCAGCTTATCTCTAGCTGATGTGTGGGTTAAGTGTAATTATATATGATAATTCTTCATAGCATACTGGTTCAGCAGTGATTGTGTGGTCTACGTAACATGAGCTCTCACTACAGCCTGTGGCTATTACATCTTTGCTGAAAAGTAGCAAGAAGTGGTTGGGATAATGAATGAGATTTATGCAGTATGAGAATACTGGATGTGAGAATTAATGAGAACTTAATGCATGCCAAAGATAAGCCCAAGGTGGTGTTCCTCCTAAGATGGTTTACAGTCAGGGTCATGCAACACTTTCAGACTTCAACTAATTCCATCACTTAGGCATGTCATTGCAGTATTCCCTATCCTAAGAGAGGTGGTGAGGTGGCACAGGTAACAGAGTCTGCAGCCTTTAATTAGCTAAATGATTCCTGTGTTTTGTTTTGGGGTTTTTTTTCTTTTTTTTTTCTGATAGTGCAGAAGTTACAGAAGAAAACAAGATTTGTAATTTTTTGGTTTAGTGAATGTCTGATTTCCTGCCTGTAAAGAAGATGCAATGATGCATATATGTTTCTAAGATTGTGATACCCTCTGCTGGCAAATATGTGAATACATAAACCAAGCAGCTTTACAATTGGGGCTGAAACATCCCCTTAACAAAATAGGTTTCCTTTTATCAAGACAGTTTCCTCTTATAAATTCAACATCATCAAAAGAAAAGTGTTTCACAGTAACCTATCAATTTTGACAAAGTTTTCATGGAAAAAGAAAATCTTGTTTATTCTGGACGGTTAAAATTACTTTGAGGTAAAATGCTTTAACATTAAAAAGAAAAACAGCATTTTTATTTCTCTGGATTCATGCAGTACTTCATTAGCCACACACCATTATGTTTTATGTCTGGCACAGAAGCAGGTGATAACCTTCTCTGTAAGTCTGTAAGGCAATATGTTATTGATCATGATTCATTTACTTACCAAAGGTATTTGGCAGCCAGGCTGCCCTGATTTAATAGTTCCCTGAATTTCTGATTCTTTTTTTCCATCTTTGTTTTCCTAACTTTTTTGTCTTATAACATAAAAATGTTAAAAGGCTTGGAATGGGCTGGCTAGGGCTGTAAGCCCAGAAGCAAACATGCTCATGCCATATCAAAGTCCCACCACTTTTAAGCTTCTTGAAAGGGAAGGAATTGATTCCAGATTCTCAGGATGTGGCAAGCTGTGTTTAAAGAAAGTGTGTGCATTTATTATTTCAAGTCATTTCAATTACAACAGGCTTGATTCCTTCCACCCCCCGTGTCACTTGATAATTTTATAACAGGCCTCTCTGAAGGAGTCATCTCCTCATTGCAGGATTAGATCCACACCTCTGTTCAGTGGCACGACTGAGTTATTCAGTTCTCCAGACGTTGCCACCAGGCTTCACTGCTTGTACTTGAAATGACAAGTACTCATGCACACAAGAACAGGGGTCCTTGAGAGAGTTTAGTGTCAGTCATCTTAAAAACTGTTTCCTAGATGCTGTTGCTCGAGTTTTCATGGTCAATTTCAGGGTTTTTGGTTGCTTAGCAATTATTTAATATCTAGAAAGCAATCTTGTTTGAGCACAGGAAAGTAAACCAACATCTTGTGTATTTACTTTGTTTCCTTTGGTTGATGTTAGGCAAGTCATTCAAGCTTTGTACAGTAACCAGGGTAGCAACAATATATTTATTCATTGGAGGAAGATGAAATTTAATTAATTGGAATGCTGTGTACGTATTTGCTATCCTGCTTATTATTTTTTCTTCTGAGAGTGTATACTGCAAACCAAGGGGACAACCTGTAGTAACCACCCATTAACTGTCCCACCTAAAATTGTTAAGTTCTTTGGCTCATAGAATGAGCCCTTTGATTTCATTTATGAGTTTAAAAAGTTGCTCTTGAATTGAGTTCTTAGGGGGCACTAGCTCCAGTGTGGGTGGGCGCATTCATTAGTGGTACGGAAGGATATTTGACTGTATGGCTCTTCAGAAGG